GACAGTATGTTGTCCACAGTTTACCTGTTGCCTTTTTTTCTCTACTAATTTGAGTACTGTCAGTGCTTCCAGAGCAGCTGCTTCAGCCTGTATATACATACTGTAGTTTATGAGACATTTAGATTGTGATAGCAGACACAGAATAAAAACAATTGGCAGATAAAGGAGAGGCATGGAAGACAAACCTTCTGTTCTAAGGTACAGCAACCAAACAGTGATCCTCATTTACATCTATCTGTCAGTGTAGTTGTCACATAATTTTACTTTGGTGGCAGGGAATAGGCTCTTGGCATCTCCATGGAAAGGTTTATTAAAAATTTATTAAACTGAGGCTAGAACTAGGGGAAAAAAAATGATTTTTGAGAAAAGAAGAGCTAGTCTTCATGTGGAAGAAACAATTTTGTACCACTTGAAAGTTGTAGCATCAAGGGCTAGAGAGATGGCTTAGTAGTCAAGAGCACTGGCTACTCTTGGAGAGAAGGCCTGGGTTCGAATCCCAGCACCCACATGATGGCTAACTCCAGTTCCAGGGAATCCGACACCCTCTTCTGGCTTCTGCAGGCACTGCATGGCATGGGTGCACTTATATACATGCAGGTAGTACATTCATGCACATAAAATAAAAAGTTTAAAAAGATTTTAGGTTGTATCACTAATGATCATAGCAGTGATACATGGGGAGTCTCATTACCTGTTTGTTTGTTTGTTTGTTTGATTGATTGATTGATTGATTGATTGATTGATTGATTGATTGTTTGAGGCAGGGTCTCCCTGTAGCCCCAGCTGGCCTGGAACTCTGGACCAGGCTGGCCTTTATCTCACAGACACTCACTTGCCTCTGCCTCTGGAGTGCTGTGATTAAAGGCAAGCGCCACCTTGCCCAACTCTTGTTACCTGCTTTTATATCATTTACCCTACACCAAAACTTCCATTGTTGCTTACCAGGAAATGTTTGTGCTGACCCCAAACCTAGGCTTCTTAATTCTTTTACCACTATCAGTATGAGAACTGATAAATCATAGTTTTGAGTGTCCTGGTGCTGTCCACAGCCTGGTCAATGAGGGGGACTAAGATGTGTTTGAAATCTAGGTAAAGTTAGCGGCCAGACTTGGCAGAGAGTCCTCTTTCTAGGCTGAAGCTGCAGGCATCTGGTGTCTTTGAAGACCTGATGGTTCCCTTTAGATCTCTTTGTCAGCCAGTTCTTCGTGCTTGTTTCTTTCTTTTTCTTGGTACTGAAGATCGAACTTAGGGCCTCAAGCATGCTAAGTTCTACCAACAAGCAGCTTCTTGTGCCTGTTAATACCTCTTGGACCATTACTGTTGCAGGAATGGTTCTCATTCATGTATCAAAAGATAAACATATTTTAGGGGGTTGGGGTACTAGGGATTAAGCTCTGCCTTTCCTGTGCTAAGCACACATTGCATCACTAAGCTATTTCCCAGTTCCTTAAACACTAGCTATCTTTCTTGCACTTAGATTGAGTTAACGCCAACTTAGAAAACTAACTGAAGGAGAAAATTCTGTATACTGATTTGGTATTCATAATTGGGTGATAAACTTTTTCTTCCCAGTGCTGGAGTTAGAACTCAGCCTTATGCCTGCTAGGTAAGCACTCTGTTCCTGAGCTATCTCCCCCAACTCTAAACTTTCTTAAAGATGTGATAAGTACAGTTATAGTTTTGGGAGGTCAGTGGAATTATATTTTTGTGTCTAAATCGAAGCCTGAAACTTTAGGGTGGAAGGCAGAGTGAGAAGATTCACAAGTTTTCTATAAGAAGAAATTTTTTGACAGGCATAATAGTGTATGCTAGTAATCCCAGCTATCACTCAGTAGGCAGAGGCAGGAGGAATTCAAGTCAACTATGAGACCCTGTCTCTTTAAAAAAAAAATAATAATTCTCACCAAAAGGAACCTCATGCCTTTATGCAACCCATATCTTACTAGGGGAAAGAAACAAAAAGACCACTTTTATATTTTTCCAGTCACTGCCTTGAATGTTGTCTCAAATACCTGCTATTATTTGTTTTGGATACTATCTTGTTGACATAGGGGCTGATTTCATTGAGAGGTTCTAGAATCTAAAATTATCAGGGCATCTGTTAGGATGTCTTGTTTTGCCAATGAGAAACCTTCTTTCTTTAAAAAGATGTTTTTGCTGTTTTGGGTTTTGGTTTGTTTTTATTTTTTGAGGTAGGTTCTCACTATATAGCACTAACTGGCCTGAATCTCCCTATGTAGAGCAGGCTGGCCTTGAACTCACAGGCACCTGCCTGCTTCTGCCTCCTGACTGCTGGAATTAAAGGCATGTACCACCATGCCCGATTAAAATGTTTTTTAAAAATCACTGACATAAAATATCTTTACAGGTACTTCATCATGTTCATGTGTAAGTACATCTTATGCAAGTAAGTTTATGGATACAGACTTGCTGGAACAAAGAGACAGAATTTAAATTTTTGGTAGCCACACTCTCCCATACAAGAGTAATAACACATATATACAGAGAGAGAGAGAGAGAGAGAGAGAGAGAGAGAGAGAGAGAGAGAGAGAGAGAGAGAGAGAATGAGAATATATGAGTGCCAACATAACTATTATTGCCGGTAATAGTGTATGAAACTTTTTTTTTTTTTTTGGTCTTTTTGAGACGGTCTCCCTGTAGCCCCAGCTGGCCTGGAACTCTATGTAGAGCAGGCTGGCCTCAAACTCACTCACAGAATGTATGAAACTTTTGTCTTTGCCATTCTTATAGATAGCTGAAAACATGTTTTTATATATTTAAAACTCACTTGTTGGGAGATGACTATCAGTGGATAGGCACAGGGTTTCTTGTTGGGGTGATGGAAATGCTACAAGAATTAGGTGTTAATGCTTATCAGTCTTTAAGCCATAAATTATACTTTATATCTCAGTAAAGGAGCCATTTTAAAAGCTTAATTTTCTGTAAATTAACTTCATTTTCTTTTCTTTTTCTTATAGGAAATTAGTTTGCTGTCTTTGTTATATTACAACTATTTTTTCCAAGTTGGCCATTTGTTACTTTAACCTTGACTTTGTTCTTTTAGCTTTGGAGAAGATTTTCATTTTTCCATTGTCAAAAATTGTGTACTTTTTTTTTTTTTTTTTTTGGTTTTTAGGAGCAGGGGTCCCCCTGTAGCCCCAGCTGTCTCACTGTGTAGACCAGGCTGGCCTCTAACTCACAGAGATCCACCTGCCTCTGCCTCCCAAGTGCTGGGATTAAAGGCATGTGCCACCACGCCCCGCTTTTTACTCTTTTTTATTCTTTTAAAAGAATCTCTAATGTGGTTTTTCATAATTGGAAATTTTTCTCTAATGTTGCATATTTCTAAATTCTGTTTCTTTTGGATTTTGTGGGGGGTTTTCTACATTTAAAATCCTATTTCTACTAATTTTTTGGCATACATTGTGAGAAAAGCATGCAGTTTTTCCCAATATAATATACTTGCCTTTATCTGATTTTAAAAAGTCAGTTTTCCTAATTGGTTTGGATTTCTGTTATCATCTACTGAGTACTTTTGTGTATTTGGGTTTCTTTCTGGACTTTTTCTTTCTGCCCCATTCTCTGAACATTTTCATCTACCACTCCTGCATTGCTTTAAGTACCTTGACTGTAAGGACTCACAGTTTTCACTGTTTAAAAAGTTCCTAATCATTCCTGATTATTTATCCCCTAAGTAACATTAAAGGAAATATTTTTAGTTGTTTTGAAATCCAGCCTATTGATTTTTTTTAATTATTATTTTTATTTTATATATATGTGTGTATTACCTGCATATAGGTAAGTGCACCCGTGTCATGCAGTGCCTGCTGAAGTCAGAAGAGGCTGTCAGATCCCCTGGAACTGGAGTTACAGACAGTTGTTAGCTGCCATGTGGGTGCTGGGATTTGAATGCGGGTCTTCTGCAAGAAACAAACAGTGTTCTTAACCACTGAGCCATCTCTCCACCCCTAGCCTATTGATATTTTATAGTAGCTGTATTAATTTATAGCCAGTCATGTAAAACTTAAGATTTTTGCCTCTTCTGTTTTATCTCAAGCCTTTGTGTTCAAAGCAGTGTTAAATAGGAGTGATCATAGTAGAATTCTTATTCTCTAATTTTAATGGGCACATTTGCAGCATTAGCATTAATATTTATAAGAGAAATGAATCTATTTGGCTCTTTTGCTTTTTATTGCCATGCTTGGTTTTATCTTAGATATATTTGTGGTTCTGGAGTTTGAACCCAGGGGCTTGTACAGGCTAGGTAAGTGCTCTACCATTGAGCCACCTTCTCAGATACTGGTTTTTTGAGACATTTTCACTATGTAGCCAGCCAGGCTGGCCTTGAACTTACTGTGTAATCCAAGGTGATCTTAAAACTGAGATTCTGAGGCTGGAGAGATGGCTCAGCGGTTAAGAGCTGTTTTTGCAGAAGGCCCAGGTTTGAATCCCAGCACCCACATGATAGCTAACAACCGCCCATAACTCCAGTTCCAGGGGATCCGACGCCCTCTTCTGTCTTCCATGGGCACTACACAACACAGGTGTACTTAACACATATGCAGGTATAACACTCATACACATAAAATAAAAATTTAAAAATAAATTTTTTGGAAAACAAAAACTGAGATTCTGTTCTCTCTGCCTCTGGGTTACAGACTTTTACCACCATGTCTGACTCAGAAATGAATTTTAAGCATCCTTTTTTTTCTCCTTTTTAATTAGCTGTGGAACAACTTAACTGCTGGTGGTATTACATGTTTCTTAAAAGGTTTGGTGATACAGTCAGTCGTCTGCAAAGCTGAATGGTATCCTAGCTCATTGTGATTTTCTTACTGTAGTCAGTCAGTCTTTTCTATTTTGAAACCAATTTTGGCAGTTGATGTTTTTCTGAAAATTACCCATTTTTATTAAAGTTTCTTAAAGTGTTTTTTGGTGAACATGTTCTTAATTTTATCTAATTTTGTGTTCTTTATTCATTTCTTTGTTTTTTCATGCAGGAACAGGAAACATAGTCGTCATTATGATTAGCTACTCAAAAGGAAGAGAAATTTTCAATCTGGTGGAAAAAGGAATTCCAGTACAAATGACCATAGGGATTGGCACCCGTCATATGCAGGAGTTCATCAGCGGTCAGTCTGTGGTGTTTGTGGCCATTGCCTTCATCACAATGATGATTATCTCATTAGCCTGGCTAATATTTTATTATATACAGCGTTTCCTATATACTGGCTCACAGTTTGGAAGTCAGGTAGTTATGGATAATTATTAATTTTAATTTTAAAAAGAGAGCATAAATATATTCTGTATATTACTTGAAGTTATATTTAGTTATATTTAATTTCATTTTCACTTATTCCTATGACTGGTAATAACTTTTTCTGTTTTGTGGGAAATTGGATACTTTTAAGTCTAGATCACTTTTTATACATTTGGTTCCTGCAGGTACTCTCTTTATCCTTTTATAGACAGACAGAAATAGCAGGGCATATGACCATGAACGTGCCCTCATGTAATCCTGGTTCTCTGGTTTGGTGTAAAGTTGAAGGGCCTTTTCTGTCTCTACTGTGAAGGCAGTCCCTTTCTCAGTAACAGCAGAGAAAAAGAAAAACCAGAGACTTCCAGTAGCACATTCAGGCCTTATGCAAAGCAGGCCTTCCTGACTTGATGACTTGGCAGGACTCTTTGCTTTAGGGTACCATTGATGGAAAGTAGATGGTACCTTTGTTCTGAGCATTATTAATTTCTTGCCAATATTTAGCATAGGAATTGGTTTCTTAGAGTTGAAAGTATAGCTAAATGACCCACACATGTTTAGAATGCAAGAGTTCCCAAGCTCTACCCCTATAATACCCTTTGTCAGATACGGAATTAAAAAGACCTGTTACTAGGCTGGAGATACAGCTCTGAAGGGGGCTTGCTTAGCCATGTATTGAAACCCTAGGCTCAGCCCTAGTACTGCAAATAAATAAATATCTAAGTAAGTAAAATAAATCAGTTTTTAGCTTGGCATGGTGGCTCATGCCTGTAATACTGGCATCTGGGAGACGGGAGAGTTGCTACAAGCCCAAGATCAGCCTGGGCCTCATTAAATAGCTTTTAAGTTACATGGCTCTTTTATATATTAAGACTTAAAATTTTTTCTAAGTTATTTTCAGAACAATCATTTAACTTCGCTTTTCTAATGATTTTCTATTTGCATACATTGTAATGTGTGATTCCCCCCCCCCATTATTTAAGCAATTGTAATAAGAATCTCTCTTTTCCCCCTAAGAATCATAGAAAGGAAACTAAGAAAATTATTGGCCAGCTTCCTCTGCATACTGTAAAGTCTGGAGAAAAGGTAATACTTTCATGCTGCTTTGTCTCATGGTTCAAACTAGACAGTGTTTATGTGTTTTGAGAAGTATTTTCTTTCCATTCTACTGATTGGCATAATCAGTATGTGACATTTTGACAGGTCTTCACGTATATATTTACATTTTTTTTAACTTTAAGATTTATTTTTGTAACTTTTTGAAACAGAAAACAACACACTCTTGGGGAAAGGTGAGGGGGTGGAGAAGCAGGCCCTGGGTAAGTGATCACGACAGCACCTGGAAATATATTTAAATATTTTAAAAAAGGGTTGACATTGACTTTTATGACAGGTACTTAGTCACATGTGACTGTTTAAATGTAAGTGAATTACATTTAGGGGCTAGACCTGTAGCTCAGTGGTGGAGCCAATGGTTAGCATGCATAAGGTCCTGGATTTGACCCCAGCACATACCCCTCCCCCTTCCTGAAAAAAACAGGGTTAAATGAATTTAATTTAAAAGCTAGTTCCAATATTGCATGTGCTTAATAACTATATTGGCTGGTGCTGACATACTGGGTTGTGCCACATTTCCATCATCTAAAGTTCTAGTGGGCCAGTGTGAATGACTGTAAAATTTGTGCTCCCAGATATTCATTGATACGAGTTCATCCACTAAAACCTGTTCAGAGTAAGATTTTTATTTATTTACTTATTTTGGTCTTTTTTGAGTCAGGGTCTTGTTGTAGCCCCAGCTGATCTGGAACTCACTGTGTAGACCAAGCTGGCCTTGAATTTACAGAGATCCACCTGCCTCTGACTCCCAAGTGCTGGGATTAAAGGCATACACCACTGTATACACCTTTACAGAGAGGCTTTTCATAGCTTGTGCAAGGTACTAATTTCCCTGAAAATGAATTAAAGAGGAGTGAACAAATATTTAAAAATCAGCTCTCACAGCCTAAAATTAGCATCAGATTTACAAATCACAAAGGGTTCTCTAGAAGAGCATTGACAAACTCCACATTCTGCATAGCTAGTTAACTTGACATTCATGTGGTTTTATGCCCTTCTTGCAGCATGCTTTCCATCCTTATACACATGAGAAGACACAGACTCATGGAATTTACTGAGCCATGCTTTGAGAATACAAGTAAATTGATACTGCTGTCTTCTTACACAGAATATTTTTGAAAGTATGCTACCCAGGACTTATTTTTAAATTGTCAAAAAATAGATATGGTGGCATATACCTTTAATCTCGACACTTAGAAGTCAGAGGCAGGCAGAGCTCCTTGAGTTCAAGGCCAGTCTGGTCTGCATAGTAAATTCCAGGCCAGGGTTTCATAGCAAGAACCTGTCTCTTCTCTCAAAAAAAATAAAAAATAAAAAATAATCTAAATGATAGGGGCTGGAGAGATGGCTCAGCAGTTAAGAGCACTGACTGCTCTTGCAGAGGACCTGGGTTCAATTCCCAGCACCTACATGGTGGCTACGAACCATCCTTAACTCTAGTTCCAGGGGAATCTGACGCCCTCGTCTGACCTCCACAGCATTGCACGACATGGGTACACTCACATACATGCAGGCAATACACTCATACACATAAAATAAAAATTAAAATATTTTTTTAAAACTCTAAATAATAATGAAAAAAGAAGATCCCTAAGTGGTCTGTGAAGTGTATATCTGGGTTTACTGCCATTTTTACACTGTAAAGCTAAACAGAAAAATGAGTTTTCTGCAGTCTATATCTTAACCAGTTCTGGAGATGAGTGACTTTTTTTTTTCTTTTCTTGTAGACTTACAGTGCTGTATAAATTTGCAAATTATTAAAGAGTTGGGAAATTATTTCATCATCCTTACATGACATGAAAAATAAGTGACTACTTTTGCTATAACATACACTTCAAAATACTGTTATAAGTTAATTTTAATGCAGTCTTTGATAACTGCATATGCAAAATCGGGTATTTACTGTTTCCTTGTTAATAGTAGTACATATGGCTAAGTACATGTTTAAATATTAACTCAAGGATAGTGTGGCTAAAAGTTGTCCCCTCATGTATACACTGCTTGAGTTCCTGAATCTCTGTCTCAGAATCCCAGCTTATCCTAGCTACTCTGGCCCCCACTGCCTTAGTGATTAAACAGGATCAGATGGACAGAGCCAAGGGTTTTCCAGAGAAGCAGAGAGGACTGATCCTATAGAAAAAGTCTGTGACTTAGAGATTCTTAGATACAGAAATTTTGTCACAAAACTCCCCCTCCTAATTTCTAAGTTTTACACTTGAAAATACTTTATCATAATAGCAAGCAGGGCTTAGAGTGTAGTTCACTTGGTAGAGTGCTTGCCTAAGATGCATGCAGCCTTGAGTTCCATCTCCAGAACCATGGTATAAACCAGACATGGTGATACAAGGTGGAAGCAGGAGGATCAGAAAACCATTCTTGGCTACACCACAAGTTTGAGGTCAGCTTGGAATATAAGAGATTTTGCATCGGTGTGTGGGTTGCATTTTGCATTTCTACAGCCCTTAAGATGCAAATACTTAGGGCTAGAGAGATGGCTCAGCAGTTAAGAGCACTGTCTGCTCTTCCAGAGGGCCTGGGTTTGGTTCCTAGCACCCACATGGTGGCTAACAAACCATGTGTAACTCGAGATCCAGGGAATCCAGTGCCCTTTTCTGGCCTTGACGGGCTCTACATTACACAAGTGCACTTTATATGTGGGCAAAACATACGCATAAAATAAAAATAAAGATACAAATACTTTTTCAAGCACTAGCTTACTACTTAAAACACTGCTAATGCCTGATCAGGCACACGGCGCACAATGAAGATTTTTTTTTCCTTTTCATTCAGTGTCTTTAAATAACTGCTTGATAGGGTAAGAAGTAAATGCCACGTATAATACATGTTTTAGAATCAGGTGGTTCAGTGCAGAATATAGTTCATCATTGTTTTAGTTTAGTTTTGTTTTTTATTTATATTGTGTGTATCACATATGTTGGGTATGCACATGCCACAACACATTCGGAGGCCAGAGGACAACTTTCTGGGACCTGGAGATCTAACTCAGGTCATCAGTGGTTTTTTTTTTTTACCTGCTATCCCTCTCGCTGACCCTGTTTTAGTCAGAATGTATTATCCTTACCAAGGATGAGCTACACACCAGTGATACAGTAAACTCTCTCTTTACAGGGAATTGATGTTGATGCTGAGAACTGTGCAGTGTGTATTGAAAATTTTAAAGTAAAGGATGTTATCAGAATCCTGCCATGCAAGTATGTTCTTTCTACCTACTTAGATATTAAAAATTACTTGAAGACTTCAGTATTTTGATAAGAGTACCATATTTTTTCTGATAGGAAAATATTGTGATCTTCAATCATCTCATCTTTCAGAAAAGAGGCTTGGACTTTCATATTGTCTTAAAGATTCTTTAAAACTGATTTGCTTAGGAGACTCTTAAGTGACCATTAAGACACATTATATACTCTTGTTTTAGACTGGCTTGTTTAGAATCCTAGGAATCCATTATATACCTAGTGGTGCAGAATATGTGCTATCTTGGGCAGAAGCAAGAACGATTAAGCACCCAGAATGACCCAGAAGTGAGGTGGAGCAGGTAGAGTTTGCTATTGTTTACATCCTGGATGTAGGTTCTCTGTTGAGGTTGTGTAAAACAACTATTCTTACTCAGGTTTCAATAATTCAGGTGTCATTTTAATACTGGGAAGTTTCAATTTCGTTTTTAATAATCCATTTTAATTGATAACTTCTAAAAAGAATTGATGTGCTACCAGAAGGGTTTGTTTTGTGTACAGATAATAGATTTTTTAAAAAATATTTTTATTTTATGTGTATGAGTGTATTGCCTGCATGCATGTGAGTGCACCCGTGTCATGCAATGCCGCGGGGGTCAGAAGAGGGCTTCAGAGTCCCCTGGAACCGGAGTTAAGGACAGTTCGTAGCTGCCATGTGGGTGCTGGGAATCGAACCCGGGTCCTCTGCAAGAGCAGTCACTGCTCTTAACTGCTGAGCCATCTCTCCAGCCCCCAAATAATAGATTTTTAAGTCTGATCAATTTCAGTTAAACCTTACATATTTTAGAAGTAAGTTACAAGTTAGTATGTTTGTTTTGTTTACAAAATATTTTAGTATATATGCAGTACTTTATAGATTAAATACAAAATATTTTAGTATATATACAGTTCTTTATAATAGATTAAATTCTTGATACCTGTTTTGAGGAAATAAAGGAATAAGCATCAAAATAATTAAAAGTTCTCAGAGAAGAGTAGCTGGCTTAAATCTGCCAGCATTTACATAGGGTTGGCACAGTGGGTACTTAAAGAACTAGGGTCAGTATAAATTAATCATGTTCTACAGAAAAGCATTGAAAGTGGAGAATTTAGGAGCTGGTTTAGGACAGGTCTTTCTGACTTCAGAATGATGCTTGAGATGTTGCATAGATTAGCAGCTCTAGGTATGTGCTGGTGGATGAGCTGGGCTTTACCTGACCCTTGGTGCAGAGCTGTTACATCTGCACATTTCTTGGTCGCTTTCTTTTTTTTTCCCCTGAGCATTATGCAACACATCCTCCAACCAAACCATAAGTTTCTTTTGTGTTGGTTTTTTGTTTTGTTTTTCTACTTACTTTTGGGTCTCCTCTTTTAGTATGAGGGTGGAAAGGTAGAATGACAAGCTAAACTAAACTGATATAATTAAAAATTGCTGTTTCTAATGGCACTAGCAGAATTCTGTTTGAAGAAAAGGGCGTCAGAGGAGTAATAATAACATACAGTTAGTTAAGAGGTATGTACTATGTCCACCCTGTTGTGAACACATTGTGTGAATCCCTTGGAACAGCTTATGGTAAAGGTACAGAGATTAGGAGACACAGCTCCTTATGATTATGGCTGTCTAGTCACATGGCTGGTGTTTGAGCCCAAGCCCAACCCTCTGGCTCCAAAGCCTGTATTTGATCACACATCCATCTCATGGGAGGAGCAGTAAGCCACCAAGACAAACCAGCAAGAAAATAAATTATTAATTCTGATAGTGTGTTAGATGCTTATTATAGAAATGGGGTATGTTAAAGGAAGTAATTGTTCTTTAGGCCTGTCACCCAAAGATGAGTGTTAGTATTTTGCTGTATTTCCATTGAGTCATTTTATAGACCGAAGCAAGATACTATCAGCTTAGTATTAGTTTATTATTCTTAGCTTATTTAGGGGCTTTACAAGACTAAAAGGCCAAGTAAACTACTAAGGCACATAAAAATGACTGTGCATGGTAGTGCATTACTATGATCTCAGCTCTTGGGAGGCAGAGTTAAAAGGATTGCAAGTTCAAGGCAAGCCTGAGCTACAAGAGCAAGTTCTAGGCCAGCTTGAGCTATGTAGTGAGACTGTGTCTCAAAAAAATAAGATATAAAAACATACAACTTAGCATGTGATAGAAATAGGTCCATCCTATTTTTGTGGAATGAAGAGAAAATTTCACTGTTAAGTTCAAGTTCTTTTTAAATGGAAAGTTGACTAGATAGTAACTTAGAAAAGTGACTAGACTACAAGGCTAATGTAATGTTGACTAATGTGTAATAAAGGGATGTTGGTAAAATGTCTATTTCCTTTATAAGTTATATAAATATTTATTTTAAGACATTAATGTATACTTAATTCTTTTAGGCATATTTTTCATAGAATATGCATTGACCCATGGCTTTTGGATCACCGAACGTGTCCAATGTGTAAACTTGATGTCATCAAAGCCCTGGGATATTGGGTTTGTTACATTTTTGTTTATTTTCAATCTCTGCCCAGTTCTTCTTACTTTATTGACCAGAGGCAAAAGGAGTAGACAGAATGCTCCATCTGGTATCCTTATAGTTCTCTAAAGAAGTTTTCTTCTGTATTAAAATGAATTCTTAAGGTAGTCCACAAAAATTAGTGAACTAAATTTATGACAATAATATGCTAGCATATTCCCCAGTTTATAATTACTTACAGTATATAGTTCGATATACTATGTTATGTATGTATGGGTGTATAGTTGATTTTATGTAAACAAAAACCATAGGCTGCATAAAACAGAAGGACTTCCTACAGTTCTGGCTTCAGATGCACATTTTACATTATGAAGGAACTAAGCCCAACACTTTTTGATGCCTTTTCTCCCTGTTACTGGGTTTCACAGTTCACTAGTACTGGGTAAACCTGTCCTGCATTAAGTTTGGCCCATTAGTTTGCAGTACTTTGGTCAGGGGAGACGAAAACAGACTATAACAATAGCTAGGCCATGTACTTGTTTCGGGCCTTAAACACATATGACATTTAATCTTCACAGCTGCTATATGAAGTGCTTTTACAATTCCTACTCTACTATAGAAACTTAAGCTTAGAGCCACTGAATCCTCATTTGAGATAACACAGCTACTTGATAAGGAATCAATATTAAACATGAGTTTACTTCTTCCCTACTCAGAGAAAGGCATGAAAAAATAAATTCTTTTTAGAATTTGAATATAGTATATTAATGCCTCAAAATATTGTTGATTAAATAAAGTTTATTAGATAATCCTTTTTGAGGAGCTGGGGATGTACCTTAGCTGGTAGAGAGCTTGCCTATGCATGAAGCCCTGAATTTAGTCCCCAACACCAAATAAACTGGATGTGGTTGTGTATGCCTATAATCCTGGTTCTTGGGAAGTGCAAACAATAAGATCAGAAGTTCATCCCATGAGACTTACTAACAAAAAAAACTTAGAAAAAATAATGTGACCATTGAATTTATTTTCCTTTTTAAACTGGTTTAAGAAGATTTTTGTAATGTTTATTTAAATTAGATAAAAATTAATTTCTATTATAGAATAGAAATTTCAGAGAATTTTTTAAAGATGATCATTTTATGCAGTTTAAAGCCATAATAGCCATGTGAGCTTCAATAATGATGTCACTATGGAACTGCCCATGGAACAAGATTTAACTTCCTAGGCTGTAGTTCTGACAGTGTCCTCTCTTCTGGCTTGGTGTGTCTTCAGGAAATACTAAGTGACCTCTCCTTCTTCACTGCTCACTATGGAATATTTCACTTGGCGGTCCAGAATGTCCTTGCTGTAGGTCAACAGGGAGCAGAAGGTTGGAATTCAAGAACCACCATACTAGAACCTCATTCTGCCTTGCTGTCCTGAACATTTTTGTCTTTCCTATAGACTACCTAAACTCTCTCCTTCTCACTTTTAACAAAATTTGGAGAGGGGTAGTATGTCTCCATAGAGACCTTGGCTCATGGCCTCTACGCAGAAACTAGTTTAGCAGTAGGCTGAGCTTTCATTGTTCAGCATTTTAAATGAGAAAATGCAGAGCTTGATGGACTATGTTCTTGGAAAAGTCTTGAACTCTCTCCCTTCCTTAGGGTACACTTCTATTGAAAGTTGTTTTCTTTGTTGAATAATTTCAGTAGCCTTAACTAAGTCAGAGACTTTCATCCTAATGAGTTTTGGTTTAAAAATACAGCATCACATATATTAAAAATCAGTTTTCATTTTATATAACATTAAATTGCTTTCTGAGGATGTTAATTACAGGAAGCTAGAATATAAGAAACTAGAATGCCTGGTTTATAGAAGTCTGCTGTTTTCTTCAGACATACCATCCCCTTCTGCGTTGGGTGTATTTTCAGTAGTTAGGACATGCACTTTTGTAGTATCTAGTTCTCTATTTCCTTATAACTGTTTAAGAATCACCAGTGACCCTTTCTTTACACAGACTTTAAAGGCAGTCCTTGGATTTGCACCTGTGTCCACTTCAGTGGCAGTTGCCACTTTTACATTCATTTGACAAACACTGGTCAAAGGACTGCTATCCAAGATGTTAAACTGAACTTAGATCTGGGGAACAGATGGATATGGTGCAGGCACTCTGCTATAGTGAAGATTTAGGGGGTTTCACTTTCAGGCCAAGTGGGACTAGAGTATGTCCAGAGACACAGTGTGGCAAGGGAGCATTCCAGGTGCCATCCAGATCAGAGAGGAAAGAGTTCATACAGCCTGTTAGAAATGGGAAGACTCACAGGAGCATATTTTAGTGGGACAACTAAGGAATTTGTCACCTCAATATATCAGCTTGATGGTGTACCCATAGGAATGACCTGTGAGGTTTGAGGTTGGCAAGTAATTAGCTTTGTAAGTATTTAGAGAAACAGGCTGGGATAAGGCTGAACAGAAGTTGGAGAACATGACATTACAGCAACATAGTTTGTTGCTTGGTATGTCAGGAGTTGGAGGTAGGGGGAGAGTTGTACTGCATGGGGAGCCTGTTTAGTTACTAGTGAGGGAGGAGGGGGCAGTTTTAGAATGCCCTTAGAGCAGGTCAGGGATGTCTGAGAACCCAAGAAGAGAAGTAAAGTGCCCGTAAGCCCCATGTTCACAGCTTACCAACTCTCACATAGTCACTTTCCCAGCATCTGCCTACATGTAACTTTGGTTCTTGTTTTAATCAAAAAGGATTTCTGAATCCCCCACCCTCCAATGTTGAGGCTCAATGTAGCAATGATAAAGGAGTCGGGCCTTTAAAGGAAGACTGGTTTGGTAGTCTTCCTTTAAAGCAGCAAATGGAAGAGAGAGGGAAGTTGGAGACAAGCTACAGCTGAGACTTATATATAAGGAAGGAGCAAGACTGCTTAAAAAACTAATACAGCCTTTACCTGTTGAGAGCCCGTTTATCTCTGAAACCCCAAATGCTTACTGTGAAACAGCCTGAGGCGGTCATCATAGCTTCTGGCTGCCTCCCGAGGGAGCAGCAGTGAGGCCAAGCCACAATGGTTCACAGCCTCTGTTCAAGAAGAAAGAGGGTGAGGACGCCTCACTTTCTGTCAGTAAATAATTTAAAAGGTGTTTGCATCAAGCAAGGAAACTAACTTTAGAGGAAAAGAGAACAAACTATATAGGTCTTACAAAGCTGCCTATTGAGAAGTAACCTCATGATGCTGGATAAAGGAGGTGCTGGTGTGCTTCCCACCAGTTCTCCCTACAGAGTAAACGATGTCTTGGATGAACCATGAGCAATATGACCATAGACTATGCCTTCTGTCCACCTCTAGGGGGATCCTGAGGATACACAGGAGCTGTCTACACCAGAAGCTACCCCAGGAAGTGTTTCTGCTGGGAATCTGAGTATGACTTCCCAGGAAGAGGACAGAAGTGCTGAAAGCAACCTGCCATCATCATCCACGAGTGAATCTGGGCCTCGCTGCCCTAGCAGGTTTAAGGAAGATGCAGGGGAAGACACAGCATTGCTAGGTAAGTGGCTGCCAGGCTTCTAGAAACTGATTACCAGTAATTGAGTGAAAATTTAAAATACAGAAAAGAATGAAAAAACTACAGTCCCACACCTAGAGATGCCATTTTGACTTTACCAGATACTTCTCAAGAATGGGGGTATACCACTTACGTATATTAGGTAAACTGCTATTTTTATGTTATCGTGCTCTTTCTTTTTCAATGGATAGATAAATTTTATGGCCATGTAGTATTTAAATGTTTAATTGCTCAGTTCATCTCTACTTCTTCTGGGGTTTTTGTTTGTTTTCTGCAGTCGGTAGGGCTGTATAGCGTAGCCTGACCTCAAGCTCACAATTTTTCTTGCTTCTGCTTCTCAATTTCTTCATACTGATTCTCAGCCCCAGCTCTTTAGTCAAGAAGCATTCTTGTGGCAGTGGGGTCAGACAGGCTTTGGGCTTGCCTGATAAGAGTGCTACCACAAACTATGCCTCTTGCCCCTAGAGCTTTTTTGTTTTCCTAATATCTATGTTGAAAGTACTATGCCTGTGTCATATATTTTTGTATTATCCCCCTCCCTCAGTTTCTTTCTTTTTGGTATTGAAGATGGGACTTGGAGCTTCGTGAATACTAAGTACAAACTGCCACTCAGCTATACTCCCAGTTCCTAATTTCTGTATCCTTCAGCCTCTCTCTATAGTTTATCTGTCTTCCAGCTTCTTATTCTCAGGCCTTTTACAGAGTACTAAATAGGAAGGTCTTTTTTCTTCAACCTAATTTTACTAGTATTTATGGGATCCTTTTTTTTCAAAAACTTTTTGAGACAGGGTCTCAAACTCACTTTGTAGCCACAGATGACCTTGAAGCTCCAATCTTTCCAAGTGTATCACCACAGAGGTTTTATGCAGTGCTGGAGTCAAAACCCTGGGCTTCGTGCATGCTAAGCAAGCACTCTACCTACTGAGCTACATTCCCCAGACCCCCTTTATTACTCTGATTGATTAATCAGTTGATCGATTGAGGCGGAGGTCACGTGGGCACATCATGGGTGCTTGTGTGGTGGTCAGAAGACAACTTCCAATAATAACTCCTCTCCTACTGTGGGACCACAGGACCAATTTTAGGCTGTCAGGCTTGGCAGCAAGTACCTTTACCTACTGAGCCATCTCACTGGACCCTCTTCTGCATTCTTTAAAGATTAATTCTTATTTTGGCAAGTAAGAGAAAAATCTCACCATTGTTTTAATTAGAATTAAATTAACTCAGATTATTTTAATGGAGATTAGTTGCTACTTCTAATTTTGAATTTTGCCATCCTGGAAAAAAACATCCTGGAAAGAAGTGAGATTCAAACTGAATCAGTTCTTGTCTTTTAACATGTTTAGGCAAAAATTCATAGAAATATTAGAAGTTTTAATTATGTATATATAGTGACGTTTGTGAAATGTGTAAAGCCAAAGTCCCTTTCTGGAGTGTCCTTTAAAAGAAGTCTCCAGAATGGAAGTTTTATTTAAGTGCTTCTGTAATTTGTTTCTTGAATTATTATCTCTAAATGAGTAACTGTATGTGTGTAACTAAAGTTTGACTGCTGACTCTAGGGTGGCTTTCAATGCTTTGTTGTAGGAGCGGGGAGGAGTGACCCTCAGCATGGAGGACCCATCTGCTAGCGCATATCTCACTGACAGCGTCACCAACAGCCTTGGCTTGAACTAAAGGATACTTTATTTTTTTACATTAGAACATAGTTTGTATACTTGAAACCATTATTTTACCTTTCAGATTTGATATACAAAGGGCTGAGATATTTTATCCTAAAAAACTTTTTAAATTAGCCTTCATCTATCTACTAAAATGTGGTGTTTATGATAAACTGTGTTGGTTCAGATTGTCCAAAAGACAATGTCTAGGGAAAGCACTCTAGTGTGGAAGATGGTGGTATTTCTAAAGACTAGCTTCTATGGTACTATAAAAACAAGATTCTGTTTCTCAGGCTTCTGAGACAAAGTACACTAAGTTAAAGTAGAATTGTATAATGTGACATAGTAAATTGATTGCATGGACTTTGCCTGAAGCAGAGACTCTAGAACTTCAATAAGAAATCTTGCTGTGGGCAGTGGTACACACCTGTCATCCCAGCACTCAGGAGGCTGAGCCAAGAGGATCTCGAGTTCAGAGTGAGCCTAGGCTAGACAGCAAAGACCCTACCTCAGAGAGAGTGGGAGGGGAGACAGAAACCAGTTATCTTGCACTGTATTGTACATAGATTTTAAAAACCCAAGCTTTGGTGTTACTGTAAGAAAAGCACTAGATGATTTTAGAATTTGTATTTTTACTTTTATTACCTAATTTCTTTTGACACTTGATTGGGAAGGAAATTTGTTCATATTTTCCTACAAATGAAAAGGCCAATATCCTGTGTTGCACATTAAAATTCTGATTCATTAAGGAAATCAAGTAGGCATACTGTGAGGTTTTTAAGTGATTATTATATTGGTTCTGATCCTTAAAAAGACAATTTTTATTTTTGTTGTTGGAATGCAATAACGTTTTCCTAAAGAGATTTCAAGCCAACTCAGCACTGGGACCTTGTCTGACCATAGACTCATTTTTACTCATTTGCTGTTCTCATAGGTAAAGCTTTGAAGATTGTTAGAAGTCTGTTTTATGTAACCAAACACACGCACAGAACTTTCTTCTCACTTCCTGTACGTGGAAGTCAGAACTGAGGCAGGGTTTTTGTTTTGTTTTGGGGGCGTTTTTTTAGGAGTACAGAATTGTGCTAGTTAGGCCTTTGTTGTGCCTTACCGTGTTCTGTGTGTCTTTATTTTGTAGAAAAAAGTAAATATTGAAAATAAAACTTTAAAAGTTGAATTTGGTGGGCATAGTGATGTATATCTTTAATCCCAGCACTCAGGAGGCAGAAACATAGTAAGACATTGTCTCTAAACAAAACACCTGAACTTTCTTTGTAGCCATAGCTAAGATACGCTTTATAAGATTTATTTTATTGAGCTATTTGGAGTTTTACCAAAAAGAGCTATACAGCAAGATTAATATGATGAGCTGTGGAAGGAGAGTTTGTTTTACTTCGAGCACTTAACAGTCTCAAAGTTTGTTTTCACAATTCTCACCGAACTCTTTTTCTGTGATCAGTGCAAATAGGAAAATATATTTAATTCTGTATCAAGTAGATTATTTGGTTTTATCTTTTAAGAATGTACTAAGGAAAATGTTTTCTTTCCAGTAGTTAAAAAAGATAGCTTTTTTAAAAGGATGTTTTTAATCATTGTAGAAGTGTGATTTGTGTTTGGGGTTTCTTTTTTTTGTTGAGGCACTCTCACTGTGTAACCCAATCTGAGTTTGAATTCACCATCCTCCTGCCTCAGCTCCACAGTGCTGAGGTTACAGGCATATACCACCTCTCCCGGCTCTGAAGTGTTTTGAAGATTGCAGGCAACATTCATGACTCCGAAGCTCATTTGCCGTGGTTCCTTGCCAACCTGGCTTCTTCACTATGCCATCTTTTCCCAGCAGAAACTCACTAGAGCGTTGTGACCTACAGTATCACTTGGTAGGTAATCATTTCTTAAGTGCTAAATTAATAGGGGTCTTGAACTCTTCTTCCCAGATGCTTGCTCCCTCTGGCTGCTGAGGAATGATGACAGTAAAAGGCCGAATTGCAGTGTCTCCATCAGCAGTTTGCTCTCTACGTGGACACACGATGACAAAACCTCCTGAAGCGAACCATTGTCTGACCTCAGTCATGCCAGGGTGGAAGCTTCCTGCCTGGAGGAGGCTTCCCAAGTGGGAATGGCCAAGAAAGGCCTACCAACACTAAGTGACTCAGATCACAGAGCTTGACTTAGTAAACAACTGTGTACCTGTAGACCTTTACTACACTCATAAAATCAAGGCCTGCTAGATTTCCAAAATAGTAGCCCTTCGAGAAAAGTGTGTTATCTATTTGGCTGAAATTCTCTCCTCAGGATAGCTTTTCTTGGCAACAATCTCTCTGGGGCACACTGAAACAAACTATTTGCTCAAGGAAAGTTTAATCTGTACCTACTGTTGGCTGGAACCTGAAGATTTTTAGTCAAAAGCAGTTTTTACAGGTCAGGATGAGCCTTGCTTTACCATTTCGTTAAGTACAAAATGTTGACGACCTGGAACAAAGCTAGCTTAGTGGTAGTCACTGTATGTAGTGATTTTCTGGTGAGACAATCATGTTAGAAAAGCTTTCCTAGCTCATTTGGCTTCTAAAGATTTAGAAACATTTGCAAAAATACTAGTACTTAATTACTCAAGGAAGTGCCTGCTGTGCCGTAACTGCCACACAGCCACTTGCCTTTTTCCTACTGCAGAGTATAAACAAAGTTGAGTTTTGAAAACAAGTATCTGCTTATTCACTGAAAGTATGAGGGCTAGAAGTCCATCTTTTTGAGCTGTGTGTAAGCTGTGTGATGGGCTGCCGAGGAGCCTGGGAATAGCAGTGTTTTCTGTGTGCCTATTGCAAATCTCAGACTTGTAGAGGTGCTTTTAGTGCATCTTAGGGATTTTTCCTAATACAGACAGTAATGATTGCATAAAAAAGACAGACCACATATGAAATCTCAGGTCTCAAACTTTTTCTCCTATTCACATTTTCTTCAAATATTATCTTCAAGAGTTATCACCAAAAATAATTATATAATAGACTGAGATCCATAATCTCCATGAAAATTAAAATGTATAACATGCTACCTAAAACTAGGTGTACATGAGTATGTACCCTATTAATTTAGTGATACCATTTCAGTAAAATTGCTTAAATGAATAGTAAGTCCTACTGAGAATGATTTAAGTGGTTATAGGACTCCCATCATTTTTTTTTTAATTAAAAAAAAATTATGTGTATGAGTGTTGTAAATGCACCCATATCATGGTGCCCACAGAAGACAAAAGAGGATACACATTAGATCCCCTGGAACTGGAGTTACCGATGATTGTTAGCCACCATGTGGGTACTAGGATTCAAAGCCCGGTCTTCTGCACAAACAGCCAATGCTCTTAACCTCTGAGTCATCCCATCTTTTTGAAATAACTTCACTTTCTACTGTTACTGATTATTGTATTTTTTTTTAAACAGGTTATTTGAAGATTTAAGTTGGAACTAAGACATTTCATGAAGTTTAGCCTAAGTTAAATTAAACTCTTTAATTAACATGAGTCCCAGTTCTTTGCTGTTACCTGTTCAACATATTTTTAAAAATAATTTATTTTTATGTGTATGAGTATATTGCCTGCATATATATAAGTGCACCCATGAAGAGGGCATTGGATTCTCAGGAACTGGAGTTACAATTTGCTGTCATGTGGGTGCTGGGAACCAAACCCAGTTCTTCTGCAAGAGCAGCCAGTGCTCTAAACCTCAAAGCCATCTCTCCAGCCCCAAGTTAAATATATTTTACTGACTCACAGGCAACCAAACTTTGACATTGTGACAGGACACTCTCATCTATGAAGTTTCCTCAAGAACCATATCAAATTAGAATCACAAGAAAAGCCCCTCTGGATATTTAAAGTACGTTTTGAGAATTTTGTGTTGGGCCAGTCATAGGTTGGATATGCCTGTCAGCTATAAAGCTGAAACCCAAGGCTGAGTTGTTTCCCACAGTGACAGCCTTTGAAACCGTTACTCCAAAAAAGTGTTAAGGTATAGGATGGATGTGGTGGCACATGCCTTTAATCCCAACACTTGGAAGGCAGAGGCAGGTGGATCTCTGAGTTCAAAGCCAGTTGGGGCTACTGGGAGACCCTGTCTCAAAAAAGACCAAAAAAAATGTGTCACTCACCTGGGCTCAGGACTCAGTTCCTTTAAGCAGACATACTTATAAAGTACTTTCAAAGAATATGGGGATTTGTTACAAATTGAGAGTACTGTTCCTCCTCCAATGTTACAGGATTAGGTTGTATACTGCTAAAAATCACGAGGCTTGGTTTCGTTAACTTCTGCCAGATATTGGTGGGTAATTTCTATTGAACAGCTTCCTTCCTCCCTCCTTCCCTCCCTTCTGCTATTACAGCCCAGCAAACGGTCCCTGCCTGACAGTCCCCACGTTTTTAAGAGACATAAGAACACATGTTACCAAGAAGTTATGGCCCTGGCTCAGACTGTGCTTTATAGAGCTACATTCAGCTGCTCTCATCACAGCACCAGAAATGTGTGTGTGTGTGTGTGTGTGTGTGTGTGTGTGTGTGTGTTTTTGAGACAGCGTCTCCTGGAACTCACTATGTAGATAAGGCTGGCCTTGAACTCAGATCTGAGTGCTGGGATTAAAGGTGTGTGCCACCACACCCAGCCAGAAATTCTTAATGGGTTCACCTCTCATTGAACACATTTAACACAGGAACCTACAAAAGCTGGATTCCTGGATTTTCAGAAACCTGTAGTTTTTAAGCAAATTTGGGTACTGTGCTTTAAAAAGAAAAAAACGCAAGAACAATTTGGGGGATAACCATCCCTGCTGGACCCCCATGGATTGTCATCAGCAAGAAACCAAAAAACATTTTCCCAAGTTCTTACCAAAAATTCATCTATAGGTAAGTCAGGAAGAGGAAAGCTTTTCTTTAAGTAAATAAAGTATTTATATTCATTAGATGAGGCAATCAATCCACTTGAGTTTTAACAGTTTTAAAAACTAATCAGAATAGGTGAGCAACAAAAGGGGCAGTTCTGATGAGGTATTACTTTGACATTTTGGTCTCTGAAGGGGTTTCTCCAGTATCCAGTGTCTTCAGCAACCGGAACAGGCCTGCAGCTTCTCGTATCCTACTAAATTCAATACAGAAGGCCTGCACTTCTATAAACAAGTCCTGCACGTTAATAATTTTGTTACGGATCAAAGACTGGAGAAAGACACACACAAGACGCACCAGCCGGTTCTGAAAAGAAAGGACACGCTTTAATGTACCTGTTCCCTGGCAGATACTAGTAAATTACAAATATTTCTACTACTCACCTGCATATATTTATCCTTAATTTGTTCACAAGTAGAGATGCAATTTGATATATAAAGGTGAATAAATTCAGGAGGTAGATCAACAGCTGTAGTTAATCTGTTTCATGAAAGAAAATCTGTGCTGTTAACCATATTTGCAAATACTGAGAAACGCTGTAAGCATAAAGTCAAATTTTCCTTTGGTCATCTAGTGAAACTTGCTAATAGGTTTTATTTTATTTTTTGTCTTTTTGGGACAGGGTCTCCCTGTAGCCCCAGCTGTCCTGGAACTCACTATATAGACCAGGCTGGCCTCGAACTCACAAAGAACCACCTGCCTCTGCCTCCCAAATGCTGGGATTAAAGGCATACGCCACCACACCTGGCAATTCTCTAGTTCTGAATATCTTTGGTAAGTAAACCGAAGAGCCATAGCCACTTACTCCTGTGACACTTCCATTAAGTCTGTACTTAGCTTTATATACTATAGTTACTCATGAAGCCATGACTAAAGCATTATGCTCCTGAGTGATTCCTGGCTAAACTGCTGTCAGTGAAATTCTTTTACCACCTTCCAAGCTCCAATAACGGATTTACCATCGTCATTTAACTGAGGAAAGCCCTATTAAACATGTAAGCACAGTGAGACATTATGTCCAAGAGGAACGACACATATAATCCGACACTAAAATGAGGACTTTGGAAGAAGTAACCTGAACTTGAGAAAGCCTTAAAAAGTGACTTGAACTAATAGGGAACAAAAAAGAGGCCTTCCTGAAAACAAATAAATAGAGGGCTTGGAATTGGCTATTAGCACAGTAACTAGCTGGTGTATAACAATGTCATAAATCCAAGTTTATAGAGTCTTGAAGGCCAAGAGTAGTATTTTCCAAAGGACCTATGTGTGATATTATTAAAAATGGATACTTGGATAAATGCTTAAATTTAGCCCAAGAAACACTAGGGCAAGTTAGACAGGGCTAGTCATTGCAAACCTTTTGCTGACAAAGTACAAACTTGAAAAGGTGAATACTGCCTTTTTCAAACCAGTGTGACCTAAAACAGGCCCCAGAGACCTAGTACTTTTTAAAAAAACTTCCAGCAGCCACTATGCCCACTTAAGATCTATGTATCAATGACAAGGCTGTTTTATGTTTGGGGATAATACACTAGAAAACAAAAACAGTCTGCCCTTGAAATTACCAGACACTAGGGGAGACTGATCCTACCAATAACAGGATGATTATTCTGGAACCAGGACTCAAATGTCTGCTAAAGACACTGCTACAGGAAAGCTGTGGAGAAGCTGTGAACACAGTCCAAAGGACAGAATTTAGTCACTGCAAAATCAGCGAGTGGTAACTGGAAAGGCTCCAGCAAGGGAAAGCAGAAGTGAAGCAGCACGTTTTCAACAAGTAACCCATTGCCAGTGACAGAGAAAGCTAAAAATTAATTTGGGAACTGTATGCTTTCTTCCCTTTTCCACCCTCTTGGGTGCTTTCTCTGCACATAGCTGTCAGCAAAGCTCTCTCTCAGCAGTTGACTAACACATTCTTTATAAGGAAAATAACCTAGATGAAATTATACAGAACACACCAACAAGGTAATACATCATTTCCTTGATGATAAATGAAAAGTGAAGGACTGGGAGAATAGCACACACAAGTAATGTCCACAACAGCAAGCCTAAGGTCCAGCTCTTAAGAACAACACTTGCATGCTACAGCTATTAGCTGCCAAGGAAAAATACTGTAATACTTCTATTTACATAGGGTTCAGCGATGGAGTTCTTAGTTGTGGAGGATAAATTCACAGGCAGTGAACTAAGGCTCAGATTAGGCTAACTGTCAGAAAAAGAACTGCAGCTATTCCCTCCAGGTCACTTAGGAGTCACACATGACCACATGCTTGATGGAACATGAAAACTTACCTATTTACAACTTCCATTGAATGTAAGGACATATCCATGTTGACTAGGACAGAGAAGTACTCCGTGATCTGGCTTGACTGCATTAATTTCAGTAGCATTTCTATAGCCACTAGAGGGTTGTTTTCCACCAGATCTGGAAGTTTTGCTGGAGTAAGGCCAATGTGATAAACAAGTTTGGGGTCTTTTTCCAATTCACCAAGAAGCTAAAGGAAACAAAATTGAGAGGTTCTTGAGTCACAGAAATTTTTTCCCACATACAAAAATCAAGTTAATTTTATGTAAGAACTATAAAAAAAAAAAAAGTCTTAGATTTCTTCCCTCAAAGCCATGTTCATCATGTCTTGACATTTTCAGATTTGAAGTTTGAGGGTGTGAAATTAAAAAGAGTGCAAATCTAGGCATGACAGTACCAGTTTTGTCTGGTTGGATACAGTATGACTATAACACTGCCATCGTGAAATCTTTTGGAGGTTTTTTTCCTCCTACCATCTGTTTTGGCCAAAAAATTACCAACTAGTTCTCAAAACAGAATGGAGTGCAGTAGTAAACCTGTAATACAACTTGAGGCTTAGGCAAGAGGATCATGTTTGAGGCAAGCATGGGCTACACAGTGACTTCAAGGCTAGTCTATATAGCAAGACCTGTCTCAATAAAACAAATCAAAAAAGCTCCAAAAACAACAGGTCTCTAGCTCATCCAGGTAGAGAACAGAAACACCTAAAAAGGGGGCAGGAAAGGAGTGACTGCAAGTAGCTCTGGTACTCTACAGTTCAAGCCACACACACAAAGTTACTAATTCCAATAAGTAGGCAGAAACACCTCTTACTGCCCAAATAATGTACTTTTAAACTTTCCATTCATTCATTCACTTGAAACAAAGCCCAGGCTGGCCTTGAACTTAGCTATGCAATGTAGCCTTTAATTCCCAATCCTGTCTCTACTTCCCATGTGCTGGGATTACAGGCATATACCGTGTTAACTTCTTTTAAGTTTTCTACATTTTATCTACCTTCTTCCCCCAACAGTTTGAGTCCTGCTACCCTGCCTTTAAACTTTTTTTTAAATGTGTACGTGTACTTTGCATATGCGTAAGTGCACCACGTGTGTTCTATACCCATGGAGGCCAGAAGAGGGCATCAGATCCCCTGAATTGGAGTTACGGATGGTAGTTAGCTGCCATGTGGGTGCTGGGAACCAAACCCAGGTCCTCTGCAAGAGCAGCCTCTCCAGCCCCATGTGTTTTATATGCTTTTGTCTACTTGTGTTTGCCATACTGAACTGCTTCAGGATGATCTGTTATGCAAAGTGAACTACAAAGAGCTGTTATTCACTTTGAAAGTACTTTTTAATGATAAACAGGATTGGAGGTAACAAAAATCTTCCTACCAGTTGTAAAAGTACACAAACTGAATATAATTTACAACCAGAAGTTTTCCACAGGGTGTCCCTGCCTTTCTCCCCCAGGGGAACCACCTACTTGTAACACTGAGCCACAGCAGGTATTAAAATCTCAAGTTCATCACCAACCAGTGTATGCTGAAGTCTAGCACTCCCTGGGCTGCCTCCTTCTTTAAAAAATGCTAATAATTCTACCTACCCCAGAAAATGAACAGTCCAGCTTAAATGCAGCAGTGTAGCTGTGCCCAGCTGGTATGCAGCTTGAAGAAAAGTGAGACCCTATCCCACCTCTTCCAAGACTGATGACCCGAGTCTAGACATTTTTAGTCACCAGATTTCTTGCCCCACCAGAGCAAAATTACCCAATGAGGAAAGGCCAGAACACTGCTCCAGAGATTCCAAAAACCTCTGATACTTTCTCCTGATGGCTCACATTGTCAGTACTATTTTATTGCCCATTTGTCAACTTCATGGGGGAAGAAGAAAACACTCAGGATGGATTACAGATGGGAAAATTTTGCAATACACACATACCTGTGTTTGTTGGGGAGAAGACAAAGGGCTTTTGAAAGCTTTGGCCATGATTCGCTTGATCTCCACACCAGTGCTATTCTTAACACACATTGATTTGTCCCACTGAATGGCATGATCAGGTTCTGTGGGATTTAGCCAGGCCAGTTCATCCTCACAAATATGGAGAGGTGGTGGTGGCCGGATAAACTCTGGCCGAAAATGGCCTATAATGAAAGTAACACATGACTGCTCATATCAGCAAGCTAACATCTGCACACGCCTCACAAGCATTTCAGTTAATGAAGTACAAAAATGCCTTTTTAAAGGATATGTATGATAAAACTCACACTCCAAGCAGGAATGAAAGAAAATCAGGGCTTCACTCAGATTGTAACCAAGAACAAAGAAATGCCGGAGGCCAAACCTCTCACTGTTTCGTAAAGGAAAGCATGTGCATGAGCTGACTTAATCCAAGCAGATCTACTCAAGCAAAGAAGGCAGATGCTAGATTAATAGATCTTTCCATGGGTTGATAAAATACTTTTTACCTTCACCCCTATTCTTAGTCACCATTAATATTTTTCCAGCAAGGCTGGGCATGGTGGCACACGCCTTTAATCCCAGCACTCGGAGGCAGAGGCAGGTGGATCTCTGTAAGTTCAAGGCCAGCCTGGTCCACATACTGAGAGCCAGTACAGCTGGGGCTACAGGGAGACCTTGTCTCAAAAAGACCAAAAAAAAAAAAAATTTGTCCAGCAATCACTAAGAATTGTTCTAGTTTTATCTTTGCCTCATAATTTTGAGGTGACAAGTAATATGGAGATTTATTGTAGTGGAAGTATTTTCTCCAAGCAGCAAAGGTAAAATGACTACCTCCAACACAAAGCAAGCAGGACTGTGGTGACATACAAAAGACCTTGGCTTGAAGTCACAATGAAACCAGGAGAACACAGCTGACAGCTAGGTCTATGAAAATGAAATTGTTGACACTCCCTCTGGAAGGAATGGTGGGGTGGTCCATAAGACCTTCACCTGAGATTTTAGTCACTACTCCCTCTTGCCCCAGCTGCACATGAGATCTTGAGGTGTGCTACAGTACACAGAAGGAGGGTGACTGGGTTGGACCTCTTCAGTGGTGCAGCTGACTATAAGCATCCTGGGGGTAATTCCAGTGGCTTCAACGCCTTTGAGTCACCCGTGCTCCTGCAATTAATGCAGATATACTCATTGGTTTACCAAGCTGAACTTCGATGGAATTCTTTCTTTGGTCTATCAGTGTTCTCTATCTGAGGTGAATAGATGTCTCTTTACAATTCCCCAGAAAAATTCATGTTGGTGCAGCTGACTATAAGCATCCTGGGGGTAATTCCAGTGGCTTCAACGCCTTTGAGTCACCCGTGCTCCTGCAATTAATGCAGATATACTCATTGGTTTACCAAGCTGAACTTCGATGGAATTCTTTCTTTGGTCTATCAGTGTTCTCTATCTGAGGTGAATAGATGTCTCTTTACAATTCCCCAGAAAAATTCATGTGTTAAGATGACACAGAAGAAAAAAAAAAAAAGTACTGGTACTGGTTTACTTTTGACATTTTCAAATCTGCAGTCTTTCATGAATCTCAAAATTCAAGTATCAAATCCATTTTCATAAACAAAAGAACAAGAAAATAGTGACAATTATTTTATAAAATAAAATAATTTTATAACAGCGTACACACACACACGCACACACACAATTTTTCTTTTCCCAGCAAGGGCCTCACGATGCTATAGCAAGTGCTTGGGGCTCTACCCTTAGTCCAAGATTGATTGGTAAGTTATAAATACAAATTCACTAAAACAAAAACTAGCTAAGACTTCTTCTAAATTCACATCACACCTCACTTTGGTTTCTACACAGATGAAAAGCCAAAAAAGGCTAAATAATTCCCACACTTTAGCAACCAGGCCACAGAGCCTGACCCCAGTGACTTCTTTTGTCTTATATAAAATTTGGAGTCTAACTCCCAGTGACCCATGTTGCCATATCCAAATGGCCAGTCTCAAGAAGGGCAACTTGCACTGTAAAATTTACTAATTAACAAGATATTGTGATGCCTGCCTAACTATCCAGGTATGGATCCCCAGACCCTATTAGCCTGCACAAAAAGCCCAGGAGGTAAGACCAAGTAACACCCCCTTTTATTATAAAAAGAATTCCCACTCAGGTGCTTCTCTTCTAGTGTATTTCACTAAATTCTCTGATTTTTCATGCTGTTGGTAAATTCTTTTTATCTACTGGCCTTCCAGGCAGCATTTTGCATAGCAGTTTCCACACAGAAGGCTGTTTATTCTATAATGCATCCTAGTTCCAGCCCAATTTGAAGTGGCTATTTTATTGAAAAAGTCCATTTCCTGCAAAGAATCACCTCTCTAATGTCCCTTCACTTGCATCACCAAAATGAGCATCTGAATCTCTCCTGAGACCACATACAAAAATAAGCAAAGCCTTTAGCACTTCATGAGAAGTGTCAGTGTGTGGCTAGACTCATGAGTGATATGCTCTGCACCTACCTCACTGGTAGCCTGTGCAAGTCAAAGCCTGTGCCTGAGCAAACACTAAACAAAAACCATTATGTGCTATGGATCTTGAGACATGCTTGTAACTAGCTGAACTTCAAATAAACCCATTTATGCCAAAGAGTTACTGTAAAAGAAATGGGAAGAAAAGTTACATTGTAAGTTCAAAGTCATGGTAACACTATAAAATCTGGAGAATGTGTTCTTATGCCTATACAGAAACTCTTCATCATTCAAACCACCCAGAAGCTTATAAACCAAATGGTATAGCTGTATCATTCCAAATTCAGTGTTTTCTTTCAATTAAACTAAATTAGGGACTGTAAAATCAAACTTTGAAGTATCAAAGGTAATGATAGTGACAGAATTACTAGAGAGGTATAAAACTACTACCTCTGTTGGATAAGTTATGAAAGTTCCATTTAAGGACTGGAGATGTAGCTTAGTTGGTAGAGTACTTTCCTTGCCCCCATGAAGCCCTGGGTTTGATCCTTGGCACCACAAACAAAATATAACAGAAAAATCAGGCTTGTAATCCTAGCACTTGGGAGATGGAGGCAGGTGGATCAGGATTTCAAAGTCATCCTCAGCTACATATGAGTTTTGTTTCAAGGTTACTCTGTATTACATGAGACCCTACCTCAAAAAACAAAAAGATTCATTTCAGTAAAATCAGAATTTATATCATCAGATATGTGTAGAACAGGTAATAAACAACCTGGTGTATAACTTGTTTTAAAGAAGAAACTAGGGGGCTGGAGAAATGGCTTAGCAGTTAAGAGCAGTTAATGGCTGGCAGCTCTTGCAGATGATCAGGTTTGATTCCCAGCACCCACATGGCAGCTAACAACTGTCTGTAACTCCAGTTCCAGGGGATCTGATGCCCTCTTCTGACCTCTGAGGGCATTGCATGACACAAATTACACTTACACACATGCAGGCAATACACTCATACACATAAACAAAAACATAAATTTTAAAAATTTAATTTTTTTAAAAAAGAAACTAAATTTTGCTAATCGTGTCTGCTATACTCTAGACATTATACTAGGAAGTTTCACATTAAATTCAAGTTTATGAAAACAAGATATCACAAAACACCAAAAAGTTCCAGGGAACAGTGCTAGAATAAACCCAAGTATAGAATTCATTTACATATACGTACTTTCAATAGGCGGTTTTGGTCCACTGACTAAAGACTCTGTGATTCGAGAGGCAACTGAGCTGTCAAATCCAGAATTAGAAGAATCCGGATCTGGGTCACTAAGAATACTTGGGAAGCTAGCTTTACTTTGAGTTGGCAATTCAGACTGGCGTTCTGAAAGAGATTCAAGACAAGAAGCACTTTAAGCCAGGCCTGGGAGCATATATCCATAATCCCAGCACTTGGAAGAGGGAGGCAAGAAGACCAAGAATTCAAAGCCAGCCTTGACCACATAGTGAATTCAAAGCCAGCCTAGGCTACACAAGACTGTCTCAAAAATGGGGGGGGTGCTTAAAATTGAGGGGCTGAAGAGCCAGCTCAGCAGTTATGAGCATTGGCTGCTACTGAGAATGAAAAACGGCAGAACTTTAAAAGAAACAATTCAACATGACCTAGTAAGTTTTACATGTGCCTATTTTCGACCCAGAAGAAACATTTTCCTATAAGCCCCAGAATAACATACAAGACTGTTCATATGGGGCTAGAGAGATGGCTTAGTGGTTAAGAACACTGGATGTTCTTGCAGAAGACCCAGGTTCGAATCCCAGCACCCACATGGCAGCTAACAACTGTCCATAACTCCAGTTCCAGGGGATCCGACAGCCTCTTCTGTCCTCCATGGGCATTGCACGACACGGGTGCACTTACCTACATGCAGGCAATACATGCATACACATAAAATAAAATATATATATATATTAAAAAAAAGACTTCATAAAAATATTATGTCCATCATGAACTGGGAACCCCAGCAGATGAATGTACAACAGTGATGAAGGGTAACAATCTCATTATAAGTCACCAACATGGGGTTATCTCTCAATACCCTACAGAAGCATAAAAAAAAGTGTGCTCCCATAAAGTTCAAAGATATGTAAGGTGAAATTGACAGGCATGCGCAGGAGGGAAGATTAAAGCACACCAATGAATGCCACAAAAGGAAGGCTCGTGGTGGAGGGGGCCAGCAACTGAAGGGAGCATGGGGAGTGTCCAGGCCTGAGAATGATCAATTATTTTGGTTTAGTTTTCAGTGGAGATGGACATCTTGCTATCTTGCCCAGACTGGTCTTCAACTCCTAGGCTCAAGGGATCCATTCATCTCAATCTCCTGAGGAGCTGGGACTACAGGCACCTCACCATGCCTGGAAAGAAATGATTTTTTAACCTAGATGGTGGCTACCCAATGCTGAATTTATTATAAATCTTTAAGGTATATATAACAAATGTATGTTTAAGATTTGGCATTTTAAAAACACAGAGGACTAACTGATTATAAAGAGCTTTAACTGTTGCTAAAAGACCATCAACCCGGTAGAGAACTAGCCAGAGACCTATGAAAAGCCTTAAACATTACCATGACATTCAGTCTTGTTCTTTCAATAAGAAAAAGTCATTGAGGGGTTGAAAAGATAGCTCAATGGTTAGGAGCACTTACTGCTCTTGCAGAGGACACAGGTTCAGTTCCCAGCACGTACATGTTAGCCAGCACCTATCCTTAATTAGAGGATTCAACATCATTTTCTGGCCTCCAGGGACAACAGGCACACATGTGGTACACTTAAATATATGCTGGCAAAACACTCATACACATAAAATAAAAATAAAATCTTTAAAAAAATACTGAGGGTCTGAAGAGATGGCTCAATGGTTAAGAGCACTGACTGCTCTTGCACAGAGGACCCGGGTTTGGTTCCCAGCACCCACATGCTGGCTAACAACTGTCCATAACTCTAGTTCCAGGAGATCTGATGCCTACTTCTGGCCTCCAAGGGCTTTGCACAACACAGGTGGACCTACATATATACAAGCAAAGCATTCATACACATAAAGTAAAAATTCATTAAAAAAATACTGAGCCAGGCGTGGTGACACACACCTTTAATCCCAGCACTTGGGAGGCAGAGGCAGATGGATCTCTGTGAGTTCAAGGCCAGCCTGGTCTACATAGTGAGTTCCAGGCCAGCTGGGGCTCCAGGGAGACCATATCTCAAAAAAATGTTTAAAAACTAAAAAAAATTTTTTTAAAAACAAAAACTAAATGAAATACCTCAATGCTACTTTTTCATTCCAGGCATACAAATAAAAGAAATAACATACTATTACCTAAAATATATATAAATTGTATGGTAAACTAATACGCAGTAGGTATTTGTTGGGAATTTTTAATAAAACTTCTGAAATGAGAGCTGGAGAGATGGCTCAGAGATTAAGAGCACTTACTGTTCTTACAGAGGGCATCAAATACCATGGAACTGGAGTTACAAAAGGGTTATTAGCTGCCACGTGGGTGCTGGGAACCAAATCTGGGTCCTCTGGAAGAGCAGTCAGTGCTCTTAACCACTGAGTCTCCAGTCCCATAAACAGATTTTTAATGGTAAATCTCTGCCTCTCAAAGTCACTAAAATTCAACTTGTCTGCTTATTTTTAAAGTTAAGAACACACAAAATGCATCATCCAAAATACACATTGTTAGTCCACAGAGGCTAACCTAAAAACATCTGTTTCAGACCTTATGGAGATGACGGGCGCCGTTAGCTCTAGAAGGGAGTGTAGGGGACAAAGAAAAGGATTTGGACAGTTTCAGTCTGAGGGGAGAAGAGAAAGTAGCAGGCTTAGCTACTCTCTCCTACCAGAAAGACAAATGCCAGGGTTCTCTCCCATATGCAGACCTTAAGCTTTCATCTATGTGTATTTATGTGGGAATGAATGTAAATGTCAGGAAACCAGAAGGGGCCCAAGAGAGGAGAGGAAGAGGCTTTCAGGGAAAGGGGTGGGAAAGGTAGTAACACACCACCTGTGATGTGAAAGTGAGAAAGGCAACGCTGGGGTGGAAAGTTTGAGAGAGGATGAAGGGCAGGGACACGGGACAGGAAGGGACCAAATGGGGTGGGAGAGGGTCAACCAGAAGGAAAAATAAAATAAAATGAACAAACAAGAAGGCCCAAATCACTGGTTCACCTTACCAGCCAAAGCTAGCTGCAGCCCGCTAATGTCCACAGACTGGCCCATGTTTCCAACATCCATCAATGCAATCTGGCGAGGTGTCTTTTTGAAGAGTTCCCTTGGAGGTGCCAGCATCAGCTGGGAAAGAAAAAACTTTTCTGGTGGAGTTATAGGAGGCAAAAACCCTGCAAACAAAAATGTAAACCGATTTCTCTGATGGTTACTTTTTAAAAATAATTTGAAATTAGCATTTGCTACTTGCCATACCAAGCTACAAGTTTTTCTTTTTTGATTGAATTTTTATGAATTTAATATATTTTGGTTGTATTTAGATCTCAGCCCCTTAAAACTCCCTGTAATTTTCTGTACTCTTAACACACACACACACACACACACACACACACACAAGTATGTATAGAGTCAGGTTTGTGTCCCCAGTTGCCCTTCAGTGTCGGTTCATCCCCTGGAGCCTGGTCAACCTACCAAGAGTTTCACTCTTCAAGGAGATTGACTCTCCCTCTCCCTGCAACTATCAGTTGCCAGTATTTCTTCAGGTAGAGTTGGGGTTTCTTACCCACTTCCTCACGCCTACAATGGGATTTTGTCTAGAATGTCAAGCTATTTTTATAAACTAAATATAACTGAGTTTCAGTCAACCAAATATATACATTTATGAGCTGTAATTTCAAATGAAATTTAAACTGTCAATAAAATTTAAGGGTTTTTAAGTATTGAGAATTTTGTTTTCAAAGTACTTCAATTCTTGAAAAAGCTAAAGTTTACATATGCTAGAATTCAGGAGCTGGGTATACAGCTCAGTTGGTAGAGGGTTTGCCTTGCATGCCTGAGGCCCTGGCTTGTCTTTTCTAAGAAACTGTGCACAAGCTGAAAACCAAGAAGGAAGCCATCAGTAGCAACTCACCTAATTAGAAACATAGTACAACATTCCCCAAAGCCTAGATTTTCCCTTTTGTCATCTGAGTAGTCAATTGCTCACCAAGCCTCACTTGTCATGTTCCTGACTCATTACCCTCTTGTCCTACTTGACCTTCCCAATTTCCCCAGCTCCTTCTTTTAGGGAGGTTTGTTCAGTTTCTCTTTTCAGCAGTACTCACTTGCACCACCAGCTCCAAGTCCGTCCACTCCTCAGTCCACACTCACCCTTACCTTCAGCGCTATCTCACAAGGCAAAGCTAATCACAGTTTGTGACCTGCTTGCACAGAATTAAGCCCAGATTTCTACATTATTACAAGACCCTTCATGATCTAGTCTCCACGTACCTTCCAACTCAACCTCTTGAATTCCTTCCTTTATACACTTTATACTTGGTAAGACGCTAAGCTTCTCTGAAATACCTAGTTCTCTAATACCTGGCGCAGTCCCACGCTCCCCCCCTCCACTGCTAATCAATACATAGCAGCAGCATTACTCCCAGCTCTAAAGGCTGTGCCTAGTGCTACTGTGAATTATTTGTATTTAACAAGCAATCCAACCCTTACTGTGTTATGACTGTTTCCACAACCAGACTGCAGTTTCTGGAGTTCCAAATCCTTAATCCTAACTCCACTTAGAATCATTTGCAAACAGTTCAAAAATATTCCCATTAGCTACTCATCCTAACTGCACAATAACAGCCCTAGGGATGGAACTTTGGTGTTGCAATTTTCTTTCAGTGTACTTAAGGGTCATCTCTGCCTACTTTAACAATGCTAACAATTACAAGTGGTTACTGCCCCTCATGTTTGCCAAAGGTTGTTTAGTCTTTGTGCCAACTCTACCTGCCAGGAAATACCATTATCTGCACTTTCCAGTTAAGGTAACTGAGGCATGGAGGAATTAAATAACTCACCCCTGATTCCCTCCTTGGCAACTGTTTCCCCTCTCTTGCAAACTGTGTTTACAGTGCAGTGGATGGTGTAGGCATAGGTTTAGACTCACTGCATTTGAAAATAGTATCACGGGGCTGGAGAGATGGCTCAGTGGTTGGGAGCACTGACTGCTCTTGCAGAGGACCCAGGGTCGATTCCCAGCACCCCACATGACAACTAACAACTGTAGATAACTCCAGTTCCAGGGGATTTGATGCCCTCTTGTGACCTCTGCCGACAGTGCAGGGCATTGGTGCACTTACACACATGCAGGCAATACACTCATACACATAAAATAAAAATAATAAGCCAGGCGTGGTGGCACATGCCTTTAATCCCAGCACTAGAGGTAGAGGCAGGCGGATCTCTGCGAGTTCAAGGCCAGCCTGGTCTATGTAGCGAGTTCCAGGCCAGCTGGAACAGGGAGATCCTATCTCAAAAAGACCAAAAATAAATAAATAAAATATTTAAATAAAATGGTATTATGACAAGTTTGTCTAACTTCCCCTTCAGAATTCAAAGGGCCTTTGGCCTAAATCCCACACCGTCCCCCTAACAAATTAACTCCTGGGTGGCTGGTTTTGCCACCTTAGATATAGCATTCACTTCCTGGGAAGTCACAAACTAACTTCTCAACAGCTAGGTAGAAACAGCTACCCTCAGGGCATCTCAGTTCAACAAGAAGCCTGCCTATTAGACAAAGGCAAGGCAAAAAAGCAGGTAAGAGCAAGCTGTAGTAGCTGAGGGGCTGCAGGCAAGGACATTTTTCTAACCTTGCTGTGCACCAAAACCCTTGGTATTCCCTCCAACCCTGCTGTCTTCACTTGATTCACTGTGCTGTGTTTTCCTAGCCATTTCTACCTTTCTACTATGGCGAAGGGCTGACCTCTATCTACCCGCTTCCGTCTACACTGATGCTAAGTCCTCCCGGTAGCCTTATCACTCCCTCTGTGCCTAGCTTATAAAATGCAGAGGGAGGGGGGTTCGGGGAAGCTGGCAAGCTGGTTCAGTGGTTAAGAGCCTACTGCTCTTGCAGAGAACCCGAATTCGGTTCCCAGCACCCATCAAATGGCTCACCAGCGCCTGTGACTCCAGCTCCACAGGGATCCAACACCTCTGGTCTACACCAGCCACACATAACAGACACACACACATAACTAAAATAAATCTAAAATGCAGCCTCGGGAACGGCCTTTCAGTGCCCGGCTACATTCCCTGCTCCAACAAAAGTGGTTTAAAAAAAAAAAAAAGCATCCTCACTCGGATGCAAGTCTGCATCTGCAAAAGCAAAAGGCATACATTCCACAGTAATGTCTAGGAAACACGCGTCTTCTAATAGTCTGTGAGCTCGAAACTACTATCCTTTAAGCTGCATCACATTGTAACAGACATTACATGCTGTTTAATGTTTATTTCCACCTAACCACTCCCTCAGATTCTCCACACAGACTTCTGTTGACTCTGAGATTTAAGAACTTTAGGGGCAGACCCTGTGTCATTGGTTGTAACTTCACACACCTCTTCAGCTTTAAAATAATGAATGAACCGTATTTGAGGCATAAAAAATGTCCAGTCTTCCAGTGAACTGTACTATTTGGTGGCTTGTTCGCTTGGGAGGAATAATTTTGAGTGCCATGAGTTTGTAATAAACCTGAACCTTAGCTACCACCTGTCCCTACTGTAGTGGGAGGAGGTGCGGAGAAAGGGGGTGATCTTCTCCAAAGGAGGCTGAAATTTCCCGGCAGGTGAGCTCCCGGAAGTGCAGTGGACCACCACGAGGAGTCTGCGCCCCGCACACCTGGCTGCGGGAGGTACCTGAGAGCGGAGGCCGGTCGGGCTCCTGGCCGCCGCGGGCAGGCGGCGCCGGGTTGAGCAGGTGCGCGAAGCTGGCTGCGAACGGGTTGGCGGCGAGCGGCTCGGTGCGGTACATCTCCCAGAGCAGGTAGAGCGCGGTGAGGCGCTGCGCCGCGCTGGGCAGCAGGTCCGGCTGCTGCAGCAGCATCACCAACACCGAGCCCAGGCGGAAGTGGTCGGCTTTACTGAAGTAGTGGTGGAAGGCGGTGGACAGGCCCTCGAAGGTGCTGCCTCCGCCCGCGTCCTCGGAGATGATGCTCAGCAGGCTCGCGAGCTCCTTCGGGGTTAAGCTCATCCTGCCCACGGGGCCCACGGGGCCGCCACTCCCCGGCCCCGGGCCGCCTGCTCCGTCTCTGCGGCCGCCCGAGACCCCCAGGCCGCTCCGGAACGTTGCCCCCGCCGCCTCTTCCCGCACCTCTCTTTGCTCCGCCGCGGGGAGAAGCCGGCCACACGCCGAGCTCGCCACTGCCACCGGGCATCAACCTCGCCGCCTGCCCAGCTTCTCGGCCGGTGTGGCCCAGGTGCCGGCTCCCTCCGTCCCCGCGGCCGTAAAGCGCGCCGTTACACGACAGCGTCGCAAACAAAACACCGCGGAGGGAAGCCAGACAACCGCGGAACCGAAAGCAAGGCTGAGGGAGCGGCGAGGCCTAGCGCAGGATTCCTAGACACGGAGTGGCGGGGCCCCGTGACCGGAAGTGGGACGTGCTGGAGGGTGGGACGTGCTGGGGGCGGGGCTGCTGGAGGGCGGGGCGGGAGAGCGAATGGGGTCCTGGCCTTTCTCTACCCGATATAGCACCGCCACACAGCTTAGCCAGCGGCTTGGGTCTTTGGAATGCGGATGAAAGCGGATCCGGAAGAGTCCCCTGGGCGGTGCCTGGCTCTAAACCCAGCAAATGTTGGCTAAGTTATGATTTGAAAAATGCGTCTTAGATGCTAATTAGTATTAACATCCATGTCGGTTCACGATAAAATTACTGTAAATGCGAATAAAGACATCACAGTTTTCTCATATCGAAGTCTTCTCAGAGATGGAATCGTATCGCATATAAACTTTTGTACACAGTTATTTAAACGACTATTTGGAAAATGTTTCCAAGAAATACAAGATTATTTATTGTGGTACACCCCACTCCGCACCCCGGCCAAGCCTGTTTTGTTGGTCTTGGCCTGACTCAGGTATTTAAAAACACAACTACTCCCCACCTGACTAACGTGTAGCCCAGTCTGAGAACCCTCAGTGACATTTGCCATATTTTCTAGGGCCCCATTTCAAGAACTGCAGCAACCTATAAGAATTTTATCCGCAATTCCCGTAAGTTTGGGGGTTCTAGCCTGTGCTAAATAATTCCTGCAGCTCAAGAATTGCCTATTTGCGCACCACCTAGATTCTCAAGGAAAACTGAAGGAAGAGAAACTGCTGAGTTCGAGGTTCGTTTTAAAGGCTTCTTTGGTTTACTGCTAGACTGCTGTCTAGAAGTCCTGCGGATTAACGTTCCAGTTAGCAGAAAATATAACGGTAAATTGGGAAGATAATTCAGATTAGCTTAATTTTTTATGATTATAAATCAACTGCATTCTCTTTGAGCCATTTTACCTTATGGGGTCTATTTGTGACAACCATAGTCAACAATACTAAAACTGACTCATGCTAGTTATTATTACAACTTACTGTTAATTATTAATTTGATAATATTGTCTGGGTGTTTTCAAGATGTTTTAAAATACTTGAACATATCATGTTTCCTCAAAACAGAACTGCTTTCCTTTTTTCAGAGCATTTTCAAGATTAACACAATGCCCACAGTTTCTTTCATGTCTCCAGCCCCGTGTTCATTTCTAGGGCTTCGGTACCATAACCACAAACTGGGTATGTTAACACAACAGAAATCAATTCTCCCTTCCTGAGGCTGAAAGTCACATCCAGTTGTCAGCACAGTCATCCCCTTCTGAAGTCTTCCTGTCTTAGCTTTCTGGCATTTGCTCAAAGACCTTGATATGCCTTTGATAACCCAATCCAATCTCTCTGCCTCTTTTGTCGTTCGTTCAGCCTTACTTATATCTTCTCTAAATCTTCACATGGTCTTCTGTTATGAGCGCTGTCCCTTGAGAATAACATGGTTGTTGAAGTGATTACCCACATGAGACCCTTACAAGATCCCCTAATGTTCCCTCATGGAAGGAGGGCTGAGGGGGTATGTGAAATAGCCCACTAGATGCACACGGCCCTGTTCCTTTCCCAGGATGTATAAGCAGTTGCTGCGTGGGGAAACTTTTCTTCTGTGGAGTAGCTGCCCATGCTCCTGTAGATAACTCCTCACCCATGAACCCCACTGAGCTCATTGATCCACCAAGCTAAACTTCAGAGGAATCATTACTTTGGTCTGGTTTTGGTGCCCTACCTGGGGTGAATGGATGTTTGTCCACATCTCCCCAGGAAAAGTTAACACATCCCTTGGTGCCCAAATGGGCATATAAGAACCAAAGATGAGCCTGGGAGGAGCATTCGCATGTCACTGCTGTGGGTGATGAGGCCTGCAGCTGAGGCTGAGCTGGCTGAGAATGGGGCAGGCATGGGGCAATCACAGCATGGCTGTCTTTCCCCCATGGTATAGACTGGCTTGCTTTCTTGCTACAGCAGCTCCTTTGTGCCATGGATGAAAAAGATATTCAACTAAGGCTGCTCTGCTTGAGGGTGGAGTGTCTGTGGGGAGAATCCCAGAGTGGCCATCTTCCTTTATATGTAGTATGGTGTGGCATGCCTCTTTAATGAATGGAGTCTACCATGTGAGATTGGGACTGCCCTCCAAAGTGCGGATAGACTAGAGGATATATTGCAGCTCCTGAAAGTAGTTGATATGGGGTCACCATAAGCAGGATGTGGCATCAGTTGTGTGGACCTTGCTCTAGACACAAGACATGTAACTGAGGCTGAGCTGTCGCCCAAAAAGAAATTACCTGTTTGTAAGGAAGTAATTATAGTGAGAAAAACATATATGATGTTCTCCTCCACACTAGCTTCTGAACTAGCAAGTAAAGGGGTCGGGACCACAACAACAACAAACAAGAACAGGCCTTAATAATAGACCAACATGGACCAGACACTATGGTGATCAGGGAGTACCCTGCCTTTGAACTGCTTGAATGCGGAAACACCTTTAAACAAACATGAGATCTAGTGAAATGGTTTAGCAGGTAAAGGCACTTGCAGCCAAGCCTAAGAACCTGACTTTGATCCCCAGAACCCACATGGTGGGAGGAGAGAACTGACTCCTGCAAGTTGTCCTCTGACCTTCACAGAATTGCCATGACACACGTGTGTGTTCATATGCGTAAACACAGCTGCTTCAAAGGACCTGGAGCCACTTCAGCTCTTAACATGTGTCTGCACAATGGTAACCATGTCTGGGTACTGATTTTTACAGATACAAACTACATTCTGTTTGAGGCATTTCACAGGGAAGATGAGAGTTAAGTGGTTACATATGCTGGTGGGCTCATCTTTCTTGACTTACTACCTTTGCTCACTGAAGTCCACCAGTGCAGCTATTCACTGCAGCGTGCTTTTCTCATTACATACAATGAGAGAAGTTGAAAACTGTGTGTGTAGTTGTGTGTGGTGTTCTAGGTCTAGGGACCAAAGGCCAAAATTCTTCTCTGATAAGATAAGGGTGGGTCTAATTTCCCATAATTCATGAGATTCTGCTTCAATAAAGAATGAACAAAGCCCTTGCTCAAGAGCATAGTTCTGAAAAATCTGAAGGAAGAGTTTCTGAGCAACTTGTTTCCACTCTTAAAATGAATACTAAGCATCAGGCTGTTTGTTTATGAAGGCATAACTGTAATGTGGCTCAGAAACATAGCAGATACTGTTCCAGTTACTTTTCCTTTTACTGTGATATACCTTTCTGACCAAAACAACTTGGGGAGAAAAAGGTTTATTTTGCTTACAGCTCACAGTCTGTCACTGAGGGAAGCCACGGCAGGAACCTGGAGGCAGAAACTGAAGTAGAAACCACAGAGGAACACTGGTAACTGGCTTCCTCTGGCTTGCTCAGTTATCTTTTTTTTTTTCTTTTTTTCATTTTGAGATAGGGTCTCCCTGTAACCCCAGCTGCCCTGCAATTCACTATGTAGACCAAGCTAGCCTCGAACTCACAGAGATTCTCCTTCCTCTGCCTCCTGAGTGCTGGGATTAAAGGCGTGCGTGACCATGCCTGGCTTCAGCTATCTTTCCTATACAGTCCAAGGATGGCTCAGGGATACCATCAGCCACAGTGGCCTGGGCCTTCCTTCGTCAATCACCAATTGAGAAAAATGCTTCACTGACATGCTCACAGGCAATCTAATGGAGAAAATTCTTCCATTGAGGTTCCCTCTTCCCAGGTATCTCTAGTTTGTGTCAAGTTGACAAAAACTAACAGCACAGATATGAGGCATATGTAGTCAAAGGTTGGTCCCCAGTTGGTGGCAGTATTTTGGGAAGTTCTGGAATCTTCAGGAGGTAGAGCCTAGCTAGAGGAAGTAGTCTATTGGTGATGGGAATATTATCTCTGACTCTTTCCTCTCTTCTCTGCTTCCTGTCCACCATGATGCAAACCTCCACTTTGCCCTCCCTGCCATGATGTACTGGTTTATGAGAAACAATGAGTCAAATAAACCTTTTCTCCCTCAAGTTGTTTCTCTCAGGTATTTTGCTCTCTGCTGTGCAAAAGTAACTGATAAACTGAGTAGTTCAAAAGAATAGTGGTTTTTTAGCTTATGGTTCTACATACAGGTGGGAAGTTCAAGGACATGACACCATCACACCCTCCACATGGCTTCTGGTGAGGGCCTTCTCTCTATATCATAACCTGGGGAAGGCATCACGTAGCAAGACAAGAATGCTAGTCCAGGTCTCGATTCCTTTCTCATAAAGCCACTAATGGGGTCCCCACCCTCAGTCACCTAATCTAACTCCAGTTAACTCCCCAAAGCGTCACCTCCAATGCCTTTTACACATGAATTCGGAGATCTTTTGGGAGACATTCTTACCATAGCAACTGGTTTGCTGAGTTCTGTCTACTCTGTCATTCAAGGACCCTGACTTGAGTCTTCTGGGATCTCTCAGGCTTGACCCTTGGTCATGGTTGCCTGTGGTCAGTTTTCCTCATTGGCTCCTGGTGTGGTAGGTTGGAACTTCTTGCAACTTCCTGAGTTAGAGCTATAAATGTCACCTGATGAGGGTTCCTTATGACATTGGACATATGCACACCACACAGTAGCCCTTTGGCCAGATGTTTTCAACTGTCAATGTGAGAAAGCATGCTTATATTTCAGAGATCTTTTTGCTATGTGAATGAGGCGGCTTCAGGATCCCATTTGTACTATGAGATTAGGTAATATTACAATACAACAAAGATTCACAATCTGGGGCCAGCAAGATGGCTCTGTGGGTAAAGGCATTTGCCACCAAGCCTGACCACCTGAATTCAATCCCTG